TTCTGTAGCAACAGGGGCAGGTGGTGGATTAAAGAGAGCTCCTATAGCGGATGCGACTGTAGTGGGGATGCTGGCGCCAAGGCGTGATCTGGACCCCCCACCGCTGAGAGTGAGGGAGGTGGGGGTGGTGGAGGAGGGGCAGGGAGGGGTGGAGGGAGGAAAGGAGAAAGGCCTCAACCCAGTGACCAGTGGCACAGCTACGGACTCTGGTGTGGCTAGTGATGCTGCTGCTGCTGGTGCTGGGGGCGCCACTGCTGGTGATGCTGCGGGTGCCGGTGCAGGTGCATCTGGGCCGGATGTGGCTGCCGCGCCTGGCAACCCCCAGCAGGTTGTGCGGCTGTCAGCAGACGGCGATCTGTTCCCCGTGCTGCTGCTGGGAGACGGCACAGCGGTGATCTGGCTCCACACGTTCAGCACCAAGGGGCTGGATATCTCGGCTACTGGGCTCACTCCCTCGCAGTACCTCTACGCCGAGTCCATGCGGGCCTTGAGCCTTGCTAAGAGGTAAGCTCGAGCTACATCCCCCCTGTTCCTTCTAGTGCTGCTGGCGGACGGCACATCGGTCATCCATCTGGCTGCACACGTTCAGCACCAAGGGGCTGGACATGTCCGCCACGGGGCTGACCCCTGCTCGTTGCGTTTCTTATCTAAAGGCTGAGTCCATGCGAGCTCTGAGCCTTGCTACGCGGTAGTTTTGCATTGTGTTCCGCCCCAAGGTCAGCCTGGCATATCTTGTATAAGCCATGCCCTCAAAGCGATGCCTTCTTGAGCCACCCAATTCACGCGATCCCCCATCATGCCAATCCTTGCTATCCCCTTTTTTACAGGAGCGGTAAGCGCATTGTACTAGATGTCCGGGGGAACAATGGCGGAATAATCCAAACTGCTTATGGTGTGGTGAGGGCGTTAGCCGGCCCTGCTAAGACCCCCCGGGGGCAGCTACAGATGCAGCAGCAGCTGATGATTGGGAACGAGTACACTGCACGACTCATTAAAAGCAGCGCCACTTTCTTCTATAACGCGTCTAATTATTGCGACCTGTCGGAGACTGCTGGGCTGGACGGACCAGCGGCTTTCGGGCCGTTTCAAGATATTCGGTTCTCAGAGGACGGGCAGGCCGGAAATTATTCTGCCCGGGTGAAGCTGCAGGAGATGCTGACGCTGTACGACCAATCAGATGATTTCAGCGGGCTGCCCATGGTGGTCGTTTCCGACGGAACGTGCTTCTCTGCATGCGCAGTTCTAACGCACATCTTAAAACGAAGGTTCAACGTCCCAATGGTGACTGTAGGCGGGATAAGGAAGCAGCCAATAGCAGTGAGCTCGTCCTGTCTGGGCGGCACGCTCGGGTCGCTTGATGACGGGATCTCGCTGCCACTTGCCGGCACGGCATTGGCCCAGGATCCCCGCGCCACCCAACCATTCCGTATGCAAATGGACCTGGCGTTTGCCATGCTACAGGCGTATGGACCCGAGGAGGACGGCGGCAGTAAGGGGGGTGGGGGAGCGGCGGGAGGAGCGGGAGCAGCGGGAGCAGCGGGAGCAGACCCTGGTACAGGAGGTGTGGCGGTAGCAGTGCCGTGTGAGTTTGACTTTTTGGAAGCGGATGCGCACATTGACCTGACGATGGAGATGGTGGATCAACCCAGGTTCCTGTGGGCTGCTGCTTCTGACCTGCTTACAAAGGGGATGCAGTGACAAGCCGAGAGTCAGTGAATTGGAAGCCTGCATAGGATTTATCCATTGGAGGGAACGATGATGGATAGTGGCGGTGTGGGTTGTTTAGATTGTTCCGAATCCCGATTGTTGTACCATATACACAGCAGGAGTACTGATGCCTGGGCTCAAGCCTCTCGTTGACCACTCGGCACAAGGTACCCCCCCCCTCCCCCTCCCACCACTCAACGAAGTATGAGCTCAAGTTAAAACTTTTCATGTCACTTCCAAACACCATGGTATGAAGTGTAGAGCATATTCTGCTTCAAGGAAGGTGTCGAGACACAACGCTTACAAAAAAAAAAAGAATGGATGGGAATAGAGCCTCATACGTGTGCACATGCAACATGGCAGCAAGAAGTTTGAACAATTCATCATTAGTATAACGCTTAGTCATTTTGCATAATGAATGCTCATGTTTATTGTCCAACATTAGGATTCGTTAATGAGCTTGTGTATTCGAATTTTGCACCGAACTTCCTCAAATTTCGTTTTGCTCTGCAGCAGGTGACCGACCACTCCAAAACGCGAGCTGTACTCGTGGCACCGACAGCAACGACTCGCCAGCTTCTAACCAAAAAGCCGGGCGCTCGTCTGACACGCGCGCTCAAGGGCTCCACCTTGCGCTTTCGAGATTTCGTCCTTGCCTCGCTGGCGATGACGACAACACCACTCGGGGTTTTCATTTGCTCGCCATCCCCTATGTCCAGGAATGCCAGGGAAATGCAGCAGGAATCATTTCTCGAACACAACGGGACAAGGTTATTCGTTCATTGAACCGAAAAAGGAATCGCTCGTCAAGGCTGGTTGAGGACCTGAAACTCTCCGGAAATTTCGAGCGTTTACCCGTCAATCGTGGGCCCTTCCCTGCCGTTTGTTGACCAGCGTGGCAGCATTTTCGCGCGGTAAACGTCAATCCGCGAAAGATCAGCACCGTCGTCTGACGTCGCACGCGTTAACGAGGGGCTCACAGCGTCAGGTTACCTGTCGCGCGTCCGGATAACCACTTTCCAACCAATTCGTTTTCCTGACCGAACTCCAGTTTTTCAAGTTTCCTGTCGGTTCCGCCAACTTCAAGGGACCCTGTGTGGATGGGAGCATCCATCAGGAGACAGGCAGACCTCCTCCGCCTACTAGAAACCCTTCCCTCGACACATCAACTAAAACCAGCCTTCCTTCCTGGTCTGGTTTTCTCCCAAGCTAGGGTTTCATTCCACCATCCTGGTCCTATCCTCCTTGCCAAATCGCTACTGGTTTCATCACAGCTGCTATAGCTCATTACTCACATCACTGTACACTCTCGTTACGTGTGCTTTCGCTAGCTTTCTCCGGGAAAATGGATGTGAAGAAGTTCGCCATGGAGCACGCCGCTCAAATGTGCCCGTTCCTCCGCAACGTGTCCCTCTCCTCGTCCTCCACTCCACACTCGTCTCCCATCTCCCACTCGCTCGGGGACCTCTGCCCCGCTTCCGTCGCTCTCCCGGGAAAGAAACCCATCTTCGAGGAAACGTCGTCCTCCTTCGAGGTCGCTTTCAGGCTCTTTCATGGCGAGGAGGGGGTTGTTCCGCTCGCTAAGCCTGCCGACTTTCTCCCGGCTGTCCCCGCCAAGTCAGGCAAAATTGAAGACGCTGAGACCAGGCTGTCGCTCTCATCCCGTCCGACGCTCCCCGTTCTTGAAAGCACCGCTGAGAAGCAGACCTCTCACCTGAAGGCTTTAGAGCCAGCAGGAGAGCAGGATCAGGAGGTCTGTCCGTACGTTGCGGCTTTCGCGGGTGGTATGGGTGCGTCAGCGGCGACGATCAGCCTGTCGGTGTTCGGCCCTTCCGGACCGTTCAGCTATGATTCGTTCCGATCGCGCGGGGAGAGCAACAAGGAGCAGCAGAGACGGAAGGAGCAGGAGGAAAAGCGGCGACGCGAAGAGGAAGCTGCCAAGGTGAGCAAACGCACCTTGAATGGCGTACACTGTTCTAATAGATATCTACCGTGAATGGCGTACACTGTTCGGTGATATCATGATGTCGTACCTTTAGTCTCACATGATCGTGTGTGGGTGTCACGCCGTTATGGTGCATGCTCTTTGCTCACATCACGGCGAACGGGTCGTGGCTTACGCCATGGTGTAACAGTTACTGCTAATGTGGTTCGCCTGTGAGGCTTCGCTCTAGGTTTGGTTGCCAATTCAGCAGCACCGGCAGTCTTATACAGCTTTTGCCGTAAGCATTGAGGATCTTGAATCAGGTTATGAATCAAGTCGTGGATCCCATTCCTTCTCCTTTCCCCCTTGTCCTTTCCAGGAGCGAGAGTCTGTTCACGAAGCCGAAGGCGAAGAATGGCTCGCGAGTGGCAACTGCCCGATCGCGAAGTCCTACCGAGCGTTTTCGCGAGTGGTGCCTCTGATCGCAGCGGCGATACGTCCCGCGTCCGGCATCCAGTACCGCTGCCCGGCTCCCATCATCGCCTTGCGAGCAGCGGTCGCGAAAACCCCCGCTATGAAGGCCCTCCGTCCCCAGGCCCTCCCGATAAGAACGCTCGCTATAGGCACGCTCGGCATGATGCTGAACATTCCGCTGGGCGTCTGGCGAGAGCATTGCGAAAAGTTTTCGCCACAGTGGATTATCGCCGTGCACGCGTCCGTTCCGCTGGTCGCCGTCCTGAGAAAGGCCGCTCTTATGCCGAAATACGCCATGGCTTTCACTATAGCCGCATCCGTTATAGGCCAGGCGATTGGGGCGAGGGTGGAACGGACCCGCCTGAGAAAGCTCAAGGAAGCTGTGGAGGGTGCTGAACTGACAGAGAACATTACTGACGACAGCACTGCACGCACCAGCAGTAGCAGCAGCAGTCTCAAGGCCGTCCCAATGCTGCCTCAGAGGTCGGTTGCACTGTCTAAGTCCCGCAGCGAGTACCGGGTTGCGAGTAAGGGGCCACCTGCTGCTGCTGCTGGAGGCGCTACTACTGTGCCGTCTGGTTGCAAGGCGGCTGCTGCAGCTGCGAAGGAAGGAGTGGGAGCATTTGCCATGTCTGTTGGTGGCGGTGGGGCTAGCGGCGGAAGCCCTTTGAAGGTTGCTGCGGCTGCACACTGATTAGTGATGCCGCACATTCATTAGTGCTCCTGCATACTCTGTAGCAGTGCTATTGACAGTGCTGCTGCGCTCAAGTTATCCAGAGGGCACCAGGCAACTCTGGTAGTGAGGTGGCTACTGTAGGAACATTATTTGTCATCCAATGAATGATTTCCTGGAGATGTCATGTTCATTTCCTTGATATTGAGGGGTCCCCACCGCACTACAAGATATGTGCTGAATTGCACATGTGAGACCTTGTCAGCCTCATGTGGGAAGCAGAAAAGTTGCTCTTCGACTGTGTTCTGAATGTTTTGCTGCTACAATGAACAAGATTGAAAATCAGTGATTCCATTCATCCACACCGTAACTATTTTATGGCACTGTGGAGTGAACACGCTATCACTTGCGCGCAGATTTCCCTCCACCTGCCCGCTTCAACGCAGTGACTGCATCAGCTTGCCTTGAACCAACCACTCCAGCCATTCTCCCTGCCCCTCCACCAGCCCCTCGACCAGTTGCACCTCCCCCAGCTGGCCCTCCCCCACCACTCCCCCTTCCCCTCCCTCCGCCCCTGCCCCTTCCCCTGCCTCCTCTCCCTCCCACTCCCCCAACGCTTCCCCCCCTCCCTCTCCCCCCTCGCCCCCCACCATTCCACCCTCCCCTCCCCCCTCCCCTTCCCCCTCGCTCCCCTCCCTGCATCCCCCCTGCTACCCACTGCTTCCCTGCCCTAGCTGTTGCCATAGAAAGATATGGATTGGGGAGTACCCTACTGTTTGCGGGGGTGGTTGCTGCTGCTGACGTGGCGACAGAGGCTGGGTTTGCTCGCAGCTGATTGGCCAGCTCGGTTGTCATACCGGACTGATGTGTGATTGGGGGTGGGGTGGGGAAGGGATGGCGAGGTCGAAAGCAGAGGGCAGGGATGAAGAGATGCAGATTGGTAGAAAAAACAGATTGGGATAGCAAGGGCAAAGTTAAAAAGCACGGGCTGTGTGACCCAAGAGGGGGAAGGACAAGGAGGTTGAAAGAAGAGCAGCAGGAAGGGAGAGGGAGAGGTGAGAGGCACTCACAGCGGCGATGAGTGAGCGCAGGTTGGTGGGCCTGAGCGGCTGCGAGACAGCTTGCTTCAGAGTCTGAAAGCAGAAGGATAGGAGGGCAAGGCATCAGAAGGAAGAGGGCAGGGTGGGGGTTTGTGGCTGGAGGAGTTCGACGAGCCAGCACAGGTTGGTGGGTCAGAGAGGCTGAGAGACTGGTGGAGTGACGGGTGCAACAGGCAAACAAGTGAGTCGATGCAACCGAGTAGTTGCTTCAAAAGATGGCGAGAAGAGCTGGCGATGCGGCTAGCAGCTCGGCCATGGGGTTAGCAGCTCGGCCATGGGGTTAGCAGCTCGGCCACGGGGTTAGCAGCTCGGCCACGGGGTTAGCAGCTCGGCCACGGGGTTGGCAGCTCGGCCACGGGGTTAGCAGCTCAGCCATGGGGTTAGCAGCTCTTTCAACCTCTGCAGCTCCATCACCTCTTGCTGCATCTGCTGCCACCCCTCCCCTGTTTCCCCTGGCCCCTCCCACCCTCCCCTCTCTCCAAGAGCACCCCAGAGATATCAACGCACTGACTGCACGCCCCAAACCCACTGGTTGGGTTCCCAAGTACCCCTGCTCATCTCACCTCCTTCATTCGCTGCAGCTCCATCACCTCCTGCTTCATCTGCAGTCGCCCACCCTCTCCAGCCACCCCCCACTCCCCAACTTCACGTATCTCATTCCCTTCATCTCTCATTATCACCCCTCTCACCTCTCCTCCCTCATCCGCTGCAGCTCCATCACCTGCTGCTTCATCTGCTGCCGCCCATCCTCGCCTGTTTTCCCCTGGGCCCTCCCACCCTCCAAACCCTAAACACAATCCAAAGATACCAACTGATACCACCAGAGAACCCAAGAGCAACGCTCAAACAGCCCAAGACAGCTCATCTCACCTCTTTCATCCGCTGCAGCTCCATCACTTCTTGCTTCATCTGCTGTCGCCCATCCTCCCCTGTTTCCCCTGGCCCCTCCCATCCGCGCTTCTCCCCCCTCCCAATCAGCCTCCTCACATCCACCCCTCTATCCGCCTCCCCTTCTCCCCCTTCCTCCCCCCTCGCTCCTCCTCGCCTTCTTTTGCTCCTCCGCTCCTCCTGCTCCCGCTCCTGCTGCTGCTGGCGTTTCTTGTTCCCCTTCCCTCGCCCTCCCCTCTCCCCCTCGTCGTCACTCTCCCCTCCCGCCTCGTCAAAATCATCAAAATATTCCTCCTCACTCTCTTCCTCTGCTCCCTCTTCGTCCTCCTCTTCCTCCTCCTCCTCCCCTCCTGCCACGTCAGCACCCCCCTCCTCCAGATTCACCTGCACCGCCTTGGCAGCGCGCTGCTTCCAGGAAGTTTCCGCTTTCTCCTTGGAGTGCTTGCGGGAGAGAGTGTCGACACTTAAAGCCAGGCTGACACATTGCTTGAGGTTGGGGAGATAATTATGATCCACAGGAAAGGTGGGGAGAGGGCCGGACTGGAAGGGGGCAGGGAGACAGGAGAGGTGAAACAGGGGGTTGGAGAGGGATAGGAGGACACAGGGCTGTCAACGCACGCTGAAAGCCAGGCTCACACAGTGCTTGAGGTTGGGGAGATAATTATGGTCCACAGGAAAGGTGGGGAGAGAGGGCCGGACTGGAGGGGGCCGGGGGAAGCAGGGGTGAGAAGGGGAGGGGAGAGGGGGATGTGGGAAAAAAGGGGGTTGTCAACACTTGCAGCCAGGCTGCCAAACACTTGCAGCCAGGCTGGAAAACACTTGCAGCCAGGCTGCCAAACACTTGAAGCCAGGCTGCCAAACACTTGAAGCCAGGCTGACACAGTGCTTGAGGTTGGGTAGATAGTTGTGGTCCACTGGAAACGTGGGGAGAGGTCCGGACTGGACGGGGCAGAGAGAGGGTAGTGGCAGGGGGTGGAGCGGACAGGAGGAAAGCCAGGATGGTTTACACATCCAGGATGATTGACACTTACAGCCAGGCTCACACAGTGCGTCAGATTGGGTAGGTGATGGTAAACCCCGTCGCAGTGCATATCTTGCTCAGCCCGCAAAGTGCTCATCGCTCGCAGTGCATAACTTGCTCAGCCCGCAAAGCAGCGCATCTTAGGGAGCACCTTTGGGAGTCACCACAGCATCCCGTAGAGGCAGAGCAACCACAGCGACTCACAACCCTTGCTGTGAGTACCACAGCATACCATGTTCAGCTTTCGGAGCAGCGACGAGTGTTTGGTGGAGTCTTTAGGCGTCACCAGAGCCACAGAGCACCACTCAGAAGAAGCATCTCGGGCAGTGCGACGCCCCAGTAACCTGACACTCTCTCACCTTGTTGAGTTTTCTCAGCAGCGACGAGTATTTGATCGAGTCCTTGGGCGTCACCAGAGCCAAGAGGCACCCCTCAGAGGCAACTCCTCTAGCATTGTGCCCGCAGCAACTCTAGACTCGTACCTTCACCTCTCCCATACGTTCTCAACACCCGTTCATCTACTCTCGTACCTTAAAGCCCGTGTCTGAGTGCGAGAGTAGATATCCAACCTCAGCAAAGCGATCCCGAGGACGCGTTTGCAGTAATTAAAGTTTCGGAACCGGAGCTGGTTACATGGAATCAGGACCCGAAAGTGTCTCACGCAACAAAATTTTGGCCCAAAATCCAACACTGGAATCGCAACTCCTTGCGAAACTTTGAGAACCCAACCCCCACCATCCACGCCCTCAACGTTTTGAGGACTCAAACCAAACGTAATACGGGTCTGCAGAAATACAAGACTCGAAGCCTTGTCAAAGTCTGACCTTCCACGATTTTCAAACTTTCGCAACCCTCGCCCACTCTCTTTCAAAATTTCGCCCCTCGCCCCCCAATCAGACTCTTCCACCAAAGGTAATACCTTAGGTCAGTAGGAAATATGAGACACGGGCTTTAACTTCACCCGTACCTTGTTGAGCTTCCTCAGCAGCAGCGACGAGTATTTGATGGAGTCCTTGGGCGTCACCAGAGCCAAAGCGCACCCCTAAGAGGCAGCGCCTCTGGCTGGCAATGCGACTACAGGAGGATGTGTAGCGGTGCACATACCTGGATCACTGCCCTACCCACCTTGTTGAGATTCCTCAGCGGCGACGAGTGTTTGATCGAGTCTTCGGGAGTCACCAGCGCCACAGAGCACCCCTCAAAAGCAGCTCCTCGAGTTTGCAGGGTATTTTTGAGAATTCTCAAAACCACCCAGCACCACAAAGCACCCCTCAAAAGCAGCTCCTCTTGCCATGCGACCTTAGGCTCTCCCCATCACCCTGAGGCTCCTCACCCTCACCTACGCTACGCTGAGGCTCCTCACCCTCACCTACGCTACGCTGAGGATCCCATACCTACGCTACGCCCTCACCTTGTTGAGTTTCCTCAGCAGCGACGAGTATTTGATGGAGTCCTTAGGCGTCACCAGGGCCACGGAGCACCCCTCGGAGGCAGCTCCTCTGGCAGTACGACCGCAACGGTGCACGTAGCCCTCTGCGGTGTGGGGCAGCTGGTAGTGCACCACCAGCCGCACCTGCAACAGAACCAGAGGAGAGACACACAAGCATGGTATCAGCAGTGCACACAGGGGGTTGTGAGGCGCCTCTGGCAGGCAGTGCGACCACAGCGGTGCCCGTAACCCTCTGCAGCCGGTGGTGCACCACCACCACGCACACCTGGAAGCGAGAAGGGGAAACACACAACAAGCAAGGCACAGCATGCACATAGGGGGTTGTTAGATGCCTCTAGCAGTGCGGCCGCAGCGGTGCCCACACCTTGCAGCAATGCACAAACACGCACCTCGGGAACATGCAGACTCACCATGGTAATTATTTTCCCGTGCACTCTAATGGCGCACATGGCTTTAAGCAATGCAGCGAGACTCACCTCAGGAACGTCCAGCCGTCTGGCCGCCACATCAGTTGCCACCAGTACTCCGTCAGGGTGCCGCTGATACCGATCCATCTAGCAGAGAGCAACGTTGGCCTGTGCAGCAGACATTGGCCTGTCTAGCACAGATTTTTTAGGCGCCTAAAAAATGATACCGATCCTTGAGGCGCCTAAAAAATGATACCGATCTATCTAGCAGAGAGCAACATTGGCCTGTGCAGCAGGTGGTGCCATCCCAGCAGTAGCAGTCCACAGAGCAGGGCACACACTCACCTCAGGAACGTCGAGCCCTCTGGCCGCCACGTCAGTTGCCACCAGCACTCCGCTCGGGTGCTGCCGGAAACGATCCAACGCCTTCAGTCGCTGGCGCTGCTGCTGCTGCGCGTGCAGGGGGAAGGAAGGCACCTGCGGGGAACAGAGGATTGGGGTATCACAAGAGAATGCAAGAGAAGGCAAGAGAAGGCAAGAGAAGGCAAGAGAAGGCAAGAGAAGGCAAAAGAAGGCAAGAGAAGGCAAGAGAAGGCAGGAGAATGCAAGAGAAGGCAAGAGAAGGCAAGAGAAGGCAAGAGAAGGCAAGAGAAGGCAAGAGAAGGCAGGAGAATGCGAGAGAAGGCAAGAGTAAGTAAGCAACACATGCTGCCAGGAAAGCAATCCAAGGCCTTGAGACTCTGGCGTAGCTGCTGCTGCGCGTGCAGGGGGAATGCAGGCACCTGCGGGGGACCAGAAGAAGTGCACGGCCAGAGAAATGTGTGCTTGGACAAGTGGGTAGAGAAGTCTTCTGAGGAGCCTAGAAAATTGGACAAGCGGGTAGCGACGGGTGAGAAGGAAGAGCAGGAGAGATTCGAGAGACAGGAGAGAAGAGAGGGAAGGCAGATGAGGGAGAGAGGGGAGGGAGAGGAGGGAGAGAGGGGAGGGAAGGGTGAGAGAGAGGAGATGGGAGGGGAGGGAGAGAAGGTATCAAAAAGGGAGATACCTGCAGCAGGGCGAGGAGGGATGCGAGTCGTCGATCAACGGGTGCAAGACAAGGGTGCAGAGGCAAGGCTTACTAGCCGCAGGGCAGGGAGGGAGGCTTACCTGCAGCAGGGCGAGGAGGGATGCGAGTCGTCGAACGGACGAGATGGCAGAGCGGAAGATGAGAGTGCGGCCAAAGGCGAGGCGAAAAGAGGTGGGACGCCCAAAGGCGGGACGAGGCTTACCTGCAGGAGCGCCAGGAGGGAGGCGAGCCGACGGACAGAGGAGATGGCAGAGCAGAAGACGAGCGTGCGGCCGAACGTGCCGTGCATTCGCAGCAGGTAGAGCAGAAAGACGTCCCTCATGCTGTCGTCGCACCTGGGTTTGAGGGGATGAGGGCAGGGCGGGCGAGATGAAACAGTAGAGGACACTAGTATGAACAGGTGCGTGCACAAATTCTTAGGCGCCTCAAAGAAGCGCAGGGGGGGGTGAGATGGAGCAGCATGAGGGGCGTGTTTCTGCTGATGAAGGCCTATTGCTGGCCGAGGGGCGTCTTCCTGCTCTGCTCATCCGAACAGCATGAGGGGCGTCTTTCTGCTCTGCTCGAGCAGAAAGATGGAACAGTAGAGGACACTAGTATGAACAGGTGCGTGCACATAGGGCCTCCCCACAGTGTTTGAATGGTGCGTGCACATAGGGCCTCCCCACAATATGTGACCCACTCTTGACTAGCACACTGTGTGTGTGTCCCCACACAAGATAGACCCCCCTGAACCCCTCTGAACCGTATATGCACACACACTGTAGACCAGGCAAACACAATGCACCCAACCACAGCCTTGCACTTACTCCGGCGCTGCCTCTTGCACGCCGCTCGCCACCACTTCAGCAGTGGTCAGATCCACGATGGATGGTGAAGGGCGCATGCTAGTCAACTCCATCACACCCACTGGACTCATTCTGCATCCCCCCATCCCTCCACTTACTCTAGCGCTGCCTCCTGAACCCCGCTCGCCACCACGTCAGCCGTGGTCAGATCCACGATAGCTGGTGACGGTCGCATGCCAGTCAGCTCCATCAGCGAGGCCACCACCCGATCCCTCTCCAGCCCCTTCTCCATCACCATCCTGTCCCTCTCCAGCCCCTACGTATGAGCACATACCAACACAGCCAGCCACCCCACAAGTACTCACTCTAGCGCTGCCTCTTGCACCCCACCCGCCACCATCCTGTCCCTCTCCAGCCCCTATGTATTAGCACATACCGACACAGCCACCCCACAAGGCACTTACTCTAGCGCTGCCTCCTGGACGCCGCTCGCCACCACGTCAGCCGTGGTCAGATCCACGATGGCTGGTGACGGTCGCATGCCAGTCAGCTCCATTAGCGAAGCCACCACCCTGTCCCTCTCCAGCCCCTTCTCCCTCTCCTTGTCTCCCTCATCCTCCTCCCCTCCCCCCTCTCCCTCTGCTGCCTCTCGGCCCCTCTTTCCTGCATGCCTCCCTGCTGCCCCTGCTGCTCCTGGCGCTCGTTTTTTTCCTTGCAGCTGCCCGCGGGTGTCGTCGGGCAGGACGAGCGTTGCTGAGAAGACCAGAACCTGGCGCTTCTTCTTCGCAAGAGTGGGAGGCTGGGAGGGGAACACCTCCTCTCCTTCTCCCACTTCTTCCTCTTCCCCATCCTCTTTATCTCCCCCTTCTTCTCCTTCTTCCCCTCCTCTTTCTTCTCCCTTCTCCTCCTCTCCCTCCTTCTCTTCCTTCTCCTCCCCCTCCTCTTCTTCACCACCTTTCCCCTTCCTTTCTACCTTTTCTCTGCCCTCTTTCCCTTTTCCTCCCTTTCCTCTCGCCGCGTCTCTTTCCTTGGCTAATTTAGCTGCCCGTGCTGCCTTTTTGGCTGCCCGAGCAGCGTCTCTGGCTGCCAGAGCCGCCTCCTTCGCCTTAGCAGCAGCAAGAGAAGCAGCAGTGGGGGGCAGCATCCCCAAAATAGAAGAAAGTTCTTTAAACCTGCCCGGGTCAGCCATACGGTCAGCTTCGTCTAGAACGAGGAAGGAGAGGTAGTCAAGCTGCAGCGGAGGAGGGAGGGAAAAGGGGAGAGCAGGGGGAGCAGGGGCCGTAAAGGAGGGAGGGTTGAAGGGTGAGTGGCAAGGGGGGAGAGCAGCTGCCATAGGGTCAGCTACATCTAGAACAAGGAGGGAGAGGTACTCTCAAGCTGCCATCGAGGTGGAAAAGGGGTGAAGGAGGGAGGATGGAGAAGGGTACTCGGTTAAGAGGTTAAGGGAAGTGATAAGGAGAGGCTCAGCCACACAGAGAACCACCTCCAGCACGGGGTAACAACATTGGGTACTCAAGCCCAATGTGCGGACCACTATCTGCAGGGGGGATGCATAGGGGGGGATGCATGGGGGGGGATGCATGGGGGGGGATGCATGGGGGGGGATGCATGGGGGGGGGATGCATGGGGGGGGATGCATGGGGGGGGATGCATAGGGGGGGATGCATGGGGGGGGATGCATGGGGGGGGATGCATAGGGGGGGATGCATGGGGGGGGATGCATAGGGGGGGATGCATGGGGGGGGATGCATGGGGGGGGATGCATAGGGGGGGATGCATGGGGGGGGATGCATAGGGGGGGATGCATAGGGGGGGATGCATAAGGGGAGATGCATAAGGGGAGATGCATAGGGGGGGATACATAGGGGGGGATGCATAGGGGGGGATGCATAGGGGGGGATGCATAGGGGGGGATGCATAGGGGGGGATGCATAGCGAGGGATGCATAGGGGGGGATGCTCGGGGGGGATGCATAGGGGGAGATGCATAGGGGGGGATGCATAGGGGGGGGATGTCTAGGGGGGGATGCATGGGGGCGGATGCATAGGGGGGGATGCATAGGGGAGGATGGATAGGGGGGGATGCATAGGCGGGGATGCATAGGGGGGGAAGCATAGGGGGCGATGCATAGGGGGGGGATGCATGGGGGGGGATGCATAGGGGGGGATGCATAGGGGGGGATGCATAGGGGGGGATGCATAGGGGGGGATGCATAGGGGGGGATGCATAGGGGCGGATGCATAGGGGCGGATGCATAGGGGGGGATGCATAGGGGGGGATACATAGGGGGGGATGCATTACACAACTACAAACACACGCACATGCACACAGACAGACGTACCTTCACCAGATGCTCCTGAGATAGCAACCGCTACTGCTTCACCTCCCCTACACGTGTACTACAACAAACACATGTACACGCAGACAGACAGGCATACCTTCACCAGGTGTTTCTTCCCCTGGCTCATCAGCTCCCACAGCCGCCCGGGGGTGCCCACCACAATCTGAGGCCCGTGGCTCAGCTCGGCAGCACCCGCCTCTGCTTCACGTTTACCTCACACACATGCTCCTTCTCAGACCAGAGCATCCAGACAGACGTACCTTCACCAGATGTTCCTCCCCCTGGCTCATCAGCTCCCACAGCCGCCCAGGAGTGCCGACCACGATCTGCGGCCCGTGGCTCAGCACTCGCTTCTGCTTCACCTCCGCCATGCCGCCCACAATGCCGGCCACGTGGATGCCCGTGTGGCGGGCCGCGTCTTTTATGTGCGATACGATCTGCAGAGCCAGCTCGCGGGTCGGAGTGATGATCAGCGCTCGCAGCGGCCCCTTCACCTTCTTTCTCGCCCCTGCACCCTCCGCCTTTCCCCCTCCCTTCATCACCCCCTCCCCTTCCCCCTCCGCTTCCTCCTTCCCCTCCCCACTCTGCTCCCCACCACTATCAGCGCCCGCCCCCTTCCCCCCCTCTTCTGCCCCTACTTCCTCCCCCCCACGCTCCCCATGGCTCCCCTCCTCCTCCCCCTCCTCCCCCTCTCCCCCCCACGCCCCCCCCTCCTCCGCCTGCCGCCTCTCCTTCTCCCTCTCATCCAACAACCGCTGCAGAATCGGAATCGCGAACGCCAGGGTCTTACCTGACCCAGTTTCAGCCGCCCCCACAACGTCCCTCCCCCGCATGGCGGCTGCAGGGATGCACGCGCGCTGGATGGGTGTGGGGGAGGTGAAGCCTAGGTCCTTTAGAGCGCGGAGAATGAGGGGGTTCAGGCGCAGCATTTCCCAGTCTGGCATGAGTATGTCCTCCTCCCCTTCTCCCTCCTCTCCTACTCTCTCTTCCCCTTCACCCTCCCCCGCTTCCCCCTCCCCCCCTTCGTCATCCTCTCCTTCGGCCGCCTCCCCGTCACCCTCCCCTGCTTCTCCCTCCTCGCACTCCCCCTCTTCTCCCTCCTCCTCTTCTTCTCCCTCGTCTTCTCCCTCGTCTTCTCCCTCTTGTCCCTCCTCTTCTCCCTCCTTTTTTCCACCCTCCCGCCTTTCCCCTGGCACATTGTTCCTCCCCGCCTTCTCCCCTCGCTTCAGAGCTGTTTTCAGCAGCTTCCTCTGCATCTTCCTCCTCTGGCTCTTGCTCAACTTACCCTTCCCCTCCCCTGCGTCTTTAGCCGCCTCAAGTATTCTGCTCATCTTCCCCTTCCCCTTCCCCTCGTCCTGACGCACCCCAGATCTCCCGCTCACCTTCCCTTCCTCCCCCCCCTTCAACCCTCCCTCTAAAACCATGTCCTCATTCTCCCCTTCACCCGCGTCTGCCTGTGTCTCTGCTCCCCCCTTCTCTCCCCCCCCCTCCATCTCTCCGCCCTCCATCTTCCCCCCTCCAGGTCTCCCCCGCCCCCAGTGCTCCGCCACCCGCCAGGCCCTCAAATTCCGCGGGGTCGATCTCCTCCAGCCCCATGAAGCCTGGCGCAGGGGGAGACAGGGGGAAGGGGGAAAAGCGGGAAAGTTCGGAAATCGGGGGAAACGCTTGCCTACAGTCAGGATTACCAAAGTGGCGGCATACCGGCTGCTGCTGCACTCCGGCCATCGATGAGAATCTGCGTTTCGAAATTATAGCGAGGGTTTACAGAGAGTAGGCCGCATACCGACTGCTACTAGACTGCGGTCATCCATGGGAATCGGCGCTTCCGCGGCCGTCACGTCTGCGTTTCAGGGTTACAGTTAGGGTTACGGAGAGGTGGGGCTACCGAGGTGACGACGTACCTCCTGCAGCGGGATTGCGGCCGTCCATGAGGATCTGCAGCCCTTCCACGGGCGTCACGTCTGTTCTTCAGTTGACTCAGAAGCAGGCGACAGCTAGGGTAACGGAGAGGGTGGCATACCTCCTGCAGCGGGGTTGCGGTCGTCCATGAGGATCTGCAGCCCTTCCACGGGCGTCACGTCTGTTCTTCAGTTGACTCAGAAGCGGGCGACAGCTAGGGTAACGGAGAGGGTGGCATACCTCCTGCAGCGGGGTTGCGGTCGTCCATGAGGATCTGCAGCCCTTCCACGCGCGTCACGCCTGCTTTTAGTCGGCTCAAAATCGGGTTACAATCGGGGTTACAATCAGGGTTACGGAGAGGCAGGGTTACAGACGTGACGGCGTACCTCCTGCAGCGGGGTTGCGGTGGTCCATGAGGATCTGCAGCCCTTCCACGGGCGTCACGTCCTTCCATTTAACCATGCGCAGATTCACTCCGTCTCCCCCGATCGTCTTCCCCCCGCCAAACATCTTCTTTCCGCGGATCATCTTTCCTACTTGCCGCGACTTTCCACCCCTTTTGCCGCCGATTGCCTTGCTCTCTTTCCCCAGCAAACCATTCCCTTTGCCGCTAGCGCTGCCTACTTCTAATGCCCCGCGCGACCCAGGCCTCGCTGCGCCGCCTCGGGTGCGTTTACCGCCGCTACCTCCTTTCATGGCTAGCTGAATCTCGAGAACACCGGGAAGGGGTTCTATGAAACAAGTTGCAGCTTCTTCACTCTACCTCGCTTATGCCCGAATTCTTTCAACAGGGGTTTTCAAGTGGTGGTGTTGGTCCGCTACACAGATCTTCGATATGAGCAGAAGTTGAATTTTAAGATTAAGAGTTCGACAGCCGAAATTGCACTCAGACGGGATGGGGTAGGATATGCGTTACAAACTGCCTCAGTTCGCAGACTCTAGAGGGCTCAATCTGCAAGTGCACTCAAATATGAAACACCGAATCGTAATCAGGCGAATAAACTTTGACAACGAATAGGAATGCTTGATGGCGTGTCACGTGCAACCAGCACTGCCACATCGGCAGGGAGATCTCCGCGCCAGGCGCTTGTGAGTGTGGCTCGTGCGGTGCGGCATTCTCGGTGGTCCCTGGGAGTTACGAAATCTCCTGAGCAGGGGGATGCTTGCAATTGCAACAATTCTAGACAGAAATCAGAATGAGCGAATTGGAATCGTCGAATCCTCCCTGATGCTCTCAACAGCCAGTGACTGTCAGTTTTGCTTGTTCATTCAGTGTGTGTCAGACATGGCCTGCAATTTACACGATACTACCATCAGTTGAAGCATACATCTTAGATCTCCAAATTTCCTCTTACAGATCTCCGTTCGCGCTAGCACCTTGTTGCTGAGGCTTGTTAACGATGGCTACTACAGTTGCTGTTGCTGCTGCGTCAGCTAACATTGCGCTGAAGCTTTCAGCGTCCCAAAATGGAGTCGTTTCTTACTCTCGGGCTCCCGCTCTAGCCACGTTCGCCAGGGTCTCCAAGACGAGTAAGACTAAGAGAGCTCGCTTTACCGAAATTCCGTGTCAATTTTTCAAATCCACGGTCGTTCGGAGGCTCACGAACAGCTGACTTACTCGCAGGTGTTGGGGAGAAGCGGAGGAATTGGGTGGTGAAGGCCACCTCTCCACAGGTGGAGGAATACAAGGAGAAGGCCAACGAACTCGTCGATGTCGCAAAGGCCAAGGTATTCAAGATACTTGCGGCTCCTTCGTAGATTTTCATCATAGCTTTCCTCTGGATATATTCCTCACCAAAGCGTGTTGATTTCTTATTCAGTGGGAGACGGTTGACAACAAGCCTCTGGTGGCTCTGTACGCTGGTGGAGCCGTGGTTGGCTTGTGGGTGACATCCGCAATCCTGGGAGCTCTCGACAGCATCCCGCTGGTGAGAAACACACCAGACACTAGCTGCAGCCGTAATTCCTTATGTATTCAGACGCTTCTCTTATTCCTTCGATTTATGTTCTCCAATTGCCAACGCTGCAGGTTCCAGGCTTCCTGAAGCTAGTTGGAACCGTATACACTGGATGGTTCGTCTACCGCTACTTGATCTTTGAGGTGAGTCGTCGCCATTGAACAACCGTATGTTAAAGCCGTGGTACACACCTGGGGCACCATCTTCAAACTAACATCCCCGCTTGTTGCATTGCAGGCTTCCCGTAAAGAGCTTTCTGACAAGGTGCAGGACCTGATTTCTCAGATTAAGTAAAGCCCCAGCTGCTTCTACAAAGCCAAGGGCGAAGTTACAGAGAGCATCTTCAAAGAGTGGCACACACACGATCATGTGATCCAGGCTGTATAAAATTCTCTAGAGTAAGCAACTGGACTGGAGTACATTGTGGTCAGCTTCCAGGTGTCCGATGCCACATGCTGCAGCATGCCCAGTTGTTTGTCTATACCACTAGTTGGTTTATAAGCTACTGGGTACAAAAATATTAAACCGGAGAGGGTACCCTGTGTGGCCAACTATTAGTGACCAGATATATAGAAACAAATCTAAATGAATGCTCCTCCCTGGCTCACAAAGCCAAGCGGAATGTATGCAGCATGAGTACATACACTCATAAGCTAGGCAGTGAACCTGCCTGCAAGCTATAGAAGGCCTACATGTAGTCATCACCCGCGCCCGGAAAGTGCTGCATGTCAGGATGGATCCCTCCACCCGGAGGACCTCTAGGCCTTGGACCACCATCCCTGGAGAAAGGAGAAAGTAATATGGAAGTATGCAGGCACAGAAAGGTAGAATGGGAGGGTTATTTGGGCATATGCATGGGCGGATGCCCACATGCCTGCATGGGAATGTGCATCAGTAGTTCCCACCCTTACAGCCAAAGCTTAGTATCCTGTAAACCCCAAATTTGCAGGATTGAACAACCTTTCTTACCCAAATCTGCCTGGCTCGAAGCCGGGGATGCCTGGAGGGCCGAATGGATCGAAGCGAGCTCCTGGTGGCATTCCCCTGCAAGCACATGAGACATGAGTGAGACTACTGGCTGCACAAGCGATGCTACCAACAAAAGAAAATCAAGACCACTGATCTCTCATCACATGGCGCACACAAGAGCTCAAACACATGCAGGGTCAGTCAGAAACTTACGGAGGCAAAGGTCCCACTCCTCCTACTCCTCCTGGAAACTGTGGGCCCCACCTAGGATCATGAGGCCCTGGACGATGGAGGGGGAGAACGCAAAGGAGGGTCAAACGAGCACAGCGTGAGCATCAAGCATGAACTGACGCAGAATGGAATTCTGATTGCATGGCAGCACCTATGAACATTGTACAGAACACATACCTACTAGCATACTTCCTCCACCGAAGCCAGGCCTGCCACACAGGAAGGAAATCCACATAAACGATCAGAATGTGCACCACAAAGAGATAGAACACTATATGCAAGATTATTCTGGTTCACAAGTGCATACCTGGTAGGCATGATGCCAGCTCCCCCTCCTGGATGCAAGTCATCGTATGGGGGCCCTGCAGGCATGGGAGGATATACGATCCCCCCCACTCCCCCTCCTTCACCAACTGAACCACGCTCAGGCTCCTCAAAATAAACCCCTCCTGTCCGCCCTCCCTCTCTCTCTGCACCCCTCCCTTCTCCCTCTCCTGCTGTGCCTGTGGAGCTGGTCTGTGCTGCAGATGCACCAGCACCAGCTCTAGCAGCAGCGGTACCAGCACCACCAGAGGCATCGGACGTGGTGGTAGAGGTGAAGGGCTTGATGATGGATGATAAGATGGAGGATACCAGTGCCGAAAGCCTAGTGTAGATTTTACTGTAGTCAGCTGATGTTGGAGGAGTGTCTGCCGATGTGTACTCAGGGACCCTGGAGAGCGCAAGTGGTAGATAATGGGAAAGAGAAATACTCAGCACACAGTCAAATACGTCAACGAGAGAGAGAAAAAAAAAACAAAAAAAAAACCATTTGTTGGACTCTCTCAAACCTGATTTCAAGATGTGAAACAAAGGCTGAAGCCCCTCCTGCTGCTTCTGAGCCTGTACCACCCATCCCTGTCGCATCCACCATAAGAAGCTCCCCCTCTGCAACAGATAAGCACTGGACCACCACTGTCCCTGCTGTTTTATCTGCACTTGCTCCTTCTGCTGAATCTCCGGGAGTCTGGTGCGCGTACGCAAACGTATAGACATCTGGAGTTGCATTCCAGCCTTCAATCCCCGCATCCGCGCTTGAATCGGAGCCTTTCGAGCCTGCCACCATCAAGAAACTCCCGAAACCTTAACCAAATAAAAGTTGACGCGGCCGACTAAAAGAGAAAAGAGCATGAAAACTCGTGCTGAGAAACTCATCTCACCCATCTCAACCGAGTCCTACCTGCAGCAATCTCAGCGGCATCAGGGCCGACTGCGAGGCACCTGAAGCCAGATGCCAGAAACGTCGCATGGACTGCAAACGCAACGCTATCTGGCTTGGATTCGAATCTCGGTCGATATGCTCTAAGTAGAGCCAACACAGCCTCGGAACTAGCCATATTAGGCGGGAAATTACGGTAAGAGTTATGAGATAAAGAAATGCTGGAATCCAGGAACAAGCAGTGATGCTAAGGGTGGGGCGCAACAAAAACGCGCTAGTTGTAGGTCCTCTCAGCAGCAAGAGCGACTACGTGATTAGAACTTTCGTCAGACTGAACCTCGTTTGCGCGGAATACGGCCATGCAGGGAGGCTAGGTCTAGAATTTAGGATTCACCAAAATGGAAATTCGGGAGGCATGGAGTGAAATGTGGCTGAAGGGGCCAAATCTTGCGACAGAAATCCTCGTTAGCTGCATTTCGCAGCTCGATGTATCGTTTCTCGTTCACGTCGTCTGCCAATCACAACTGCCCAAGAGCCGATCGCAACACCAATTTTGGGCTTCGGTCTGAAGGAGTGCGTGATTCTGAAAGCCAGAAATGCAAAATAGTCAAGTTTGCGAGAAAAACTGTTCGATACACTTCATTGAGGAAATTATAATCAGAACTCAGAAACTGGTTGGACGTGCGCGACGTGAGGCGCTTCCAAACCAGCAGAGCCGCTTTGCCATCCGTTACAGTCATGAAAAAACGATTTCGAGCCAGAAGTTGAAGTCCGGCCTCCCTCGAATACCAACCACCAAGCCCCAAACCACCAGCTTCGTTACCTCTTTCTTCCGCAGCTGACCCATTTCCATGTTTCCCCCAGCCCCGCTGACCAGTCTCCCCTTTCCCCGAGTCTCGACCAGCCGCTGCTTCCTAGAGCTGGGGCGGAGCTCGTCTGCCCCGCGTACATGTCTAGGCTTTCCGCCACTTATCGGCAGTGATTAGCTCCGCAGCCTCAACATTGGGCACCGCCATACACTCCATAGGGGCACTTCCGCCAGTCCTTGCCAACTTCCGCCAGTTTCTGGCGAGCCTTCGTCATTTTTCAAGCAGCCCGCCCGCTTTGCTCATTCCCCACACCCTGCAGCAACAGCACGGCATTTCCCCACCTTCTCCCCCGATTCTCCCCATCATCCCGCCTTCCCACCCCACCTTCCCCCCCCAATCATCCCGCCAGCCTAACTTCTCCCTTTCAGCCATGGCGGTTGCTCCCTCCCTTTAACTGCACCCACTCCAACTCTTATTACCGTCGCCTCGCCTTGCCACCCGCCTTAGTTAGAACTTAAGAACCGCCTCGCGCACCATCCGGACATCACCCGAGTAACAGTCGCTGGCTCTCTGGTATCGAAGAGCGTTCTGCATTGCGTTACTGTTTGCTCCTCGTCCCTCACTTATACGTCGCACGTCGCGATCTTTAGGTGCAAGCTATTTACTTAGCCTTCTCGTATAATATTATCCTGAGACGGAGTCTCGCTTACGCTCTCTATTTTCGCGAGACGCATTACGTCGCTAGCGGTTAACGGAGACTGTGCTATCTAGTGCGTATGGTTCTGCAACCCTAATTGCAGAATAGACCCATGGGTAACTGTTAAAGTCGTATTAGTTGCTGAGCTATCGAGGTAGGTGGACCTATGGGTGGGTGCCTATCTACCCCGAAGGCGACGATAGAGGAGCAGAGACCCAATAACGCACCCCCACCAGGTAAGCTGCCATAGTTCCCGTTTCGTAGCCGGCATGTCTCGACTTCTTAAAATGTTTGCCGCGCATATCTAGCGAGAAGGCAAGATATTGGTGCGAAGAGCGTAATGCCGTAGTTGCTGGCTTCCGTCATTCGTACTGATACTTACTCGTTTCCTGGTACGGTTTTTCGTCCTTTAGTGACCTTATTGTGTTGCCAGCTGGCCAATGTGAGAACGTCGAGACGACTCTTAAGTCGATGTCACTATGAGTCGACTCAGGAGTCATTACAGTATTTCGTGCTTTAGGGGCCTTACCGTGTTGCTAGTTCGCCAATGCGAGAGCGCCAGCTTCCGTTTCTCCGACCGCCGTCGTTTCTCCTATGATAGACGAGTTTTTTTTTTTGCATGCGAAATCACTCGGCTGAGATCCAGCGTCGTGCCATTCTCTTACTACCCTCTTTTTTCTCCTTTTTAATGTAACGACGGACGCGCGAGCCTTATCCCGGGTTTAAAATCTCATGGCTTTTTCACTCGAACCATCTCCCCTTCACACACTCGTTTCCCCTCCTCCCCTCTCCCCCCCCTTCCTCCCAACAGGTGGCGAGCCGCCTAAAGTTGCTGGGGGTGCGCCCGCTCCGGAGCCGGGAAGCAACAATCAGCAGCAGCAGGAGGAGGAGCAATGGCGGATGCAGCAGCAGAAAGAGCAGGAGGCGCTGCAGCAGAAGCAAGCGTACGAGCGCAACAGATGCAGGAACAGCAGCAGCTACAGATGCAACAGCAGCAGCAGATGCACTACCAGCAGCAGCAGATGCAGATGCAGCAGCAGCAGCAACAGCAGCAACAAATGTACATGCAACAGCAGCAGCAGCAGCAGCAGTACGGGTCAGATCAGCAAGGGTATAATCCTCAATACGCGCTGCAACAACAAGACCCCCGGTACATGCAGCAGCAGCAGCAGCAGTTACAGTACCACCAGCAGCAGCAGCAGCAGCAGCAGCAGCCACCACCCATGAACCCCTACCAGCAGCCCCCCCATCTAGCCCCCCAACTCCCTCCGGGTTTCCAACAATCCATCCCCGCGCCTATCCTCCCCGTGGGCTACGACAAGTGAACGAAGAGGAAGAGGTAAACGACGGGCAGGGGGGTGGGGAGGCGGAGCGGCCGTAGCAGCAGCAGGAGGAGGGGGAGGTGGAGCCGGGGGAGGTGTTATCGGGTATCAGGAGCAGCCTGCGGAGCTACAGGAATATTCGTACCAGGATTTAGTTGATGCGACGGAAGATTTTCAGGAACACTCGGTGCTGGGAGAGGGCGGGTTCGGGAAGGTTTATAAGGGGTATGTTTTGGACCGGTTTCCGGTGGAGGGCGGGCCGCCCGTGACGGCGACAGTGGCGATAAAGAAACTGAACCCGTCGGGTTACCAGAGCAAAGTGGAGTGGATGGTAAGAAATTTCGCAGAGCCTTTTATCGATTATCGCTTGAGGGCTCTTCTTCCCCTCGCGCCCGCTGCGTGCCCCTTCCGCTCCGCGCTTTCTCGCGCTCCTCCGCCTGCCCCCCTTCCAGTTTCCCCCTCGCTTCCCTTGCGTCTTCCTGTCGACCCCATGGCGCTCCTCCCTTCGCCCTTTCGCGCGGTTCCCCTAGCATCGTTGCGCTCTTCCCCTCGCTCTCCTTGCGCCTTTCCCTCGCCCCCCTTGCGCTCTTCTCGTCGCCCTTTCGCGCGTCCGGAATTCACAGATGGCGTTTCTCGTCGCTTGGTTTCTACACCAGTCTTTTCGTGTCAGATTTTACCAGCTGGGAGTTATTTTTCCCGGTCTTTTATTCTATGTTAGTCGTCCTTATTTTTTGGCCGCTCTTTCGACTGGGTTTGTTCAAAACGAATTGTTGTCCCTTTGGTTCACATGCCTGCGTGTGCGACGGCAGAGGGAGATCCTGGTGCTGGGAAGATTGAACCACTCGAATCTGGTGCTGGGTACCTCATCTCTGACAGCTTTCTGAATCGCCTTGTAACGAAACATTCTCCTTCTTCCACTCGCGTGTGACGGCAGAGGGAGATCCTGGTGCTGGGCAAGCTGAACCACCCGAATCTGGTGCGACTGATAGGGTACTGCGCGGAGCTGGAGGAGATGCTGCTCGTCTACGAGTTTGTGCCCCGGGGCAGTCTTGACTACCACCTCTGGCCAGGTGAGCGCGAGTTAGAGCGACGAGGCTGGGTGTTGTTGAGAGTCGAGTCAAGGGTGAACTCGACATTCCCCTCACTGCTCCCCATGCATATGCCGTACTCCCCTCTGCCCCCAACGTGCCAGCGAACCCCTGCCATGGCCAGCGCGGCTGCACCGGGTGGCTTGGCGCGTGTGCTGAGACGCTTCAAGACACGTCGCGCGACCTTGTCTCGTTTTCCCCTCCGTAACCCCCCCCCCCCCCCCCCCCCCAAATATGCCGTTCTCCCCTTTGCCCCCGACGTGCCTGCTGGCCCCCTTCCATGGCTATTGTGCTTGCGCATCACTCACGACGCTGCTTGTGGCTTTGCACCCCTCTGACCGCTCTATGCCCCCCTCCGCTTTCCCTTCTCCCCGCTGCGTGCCCTCAGCCCCCAATGTCCCTGCAGACCCCCTGCCATGGCAAGCGCGCCTGCGCATCGCCCACGACGCGGCCTGTGGCTTGGCGCACCTGCACGCCAGCAACTTCATCCACCGCGACTTCAAGGCGCCCAACATCCTCATTGCCGAGGTATGTCGCTAGCTCCCTTATAGCTCTCAGTGAGTGCCCGCGTGGGCTGCCGAACCATGCCCCACCTGCTTCCCTGCCCCATCTGCACGCCAGCAACTTCATCCACCGCGATCTCAAGGCGCCCAACATTCTGACTGAGGCACTCCTGGCAGCATGTCCCCCCACCCTCGCTTGCCCATTTTGGTTCCCTGGTCCCCGCGCACCTGCACGCCAGCAGCTTCATCCACCGCGGTTTCAAAGCCTTTTTTTGGCACACATCTCAACTCCACCATCACATCCCGCTCTCTAACCCATGCACCCCAGTCTCGCCTCTCATCCCCAACCCGCCCCTTCCTGATTGTTCCAGAACTATTCGGTGAAGCAGACGTTTTTTAGCTGGTAAGGACAGGCCTGGACTTGAACCTCCTTGAAGTCACTCTAAGCCCACCCCACCCTCACTCCCCGCGTCCCTCTTCCCCTCACCACTCCCCACCGCTCTTCTTGTCTTTCCAGAACTACGCAGGCAAGCTGACGGATTTCGGGCTGGCGAAGGATGGGCCGGATGCGGGGCAGACGCATGTGTCAACGCAGATCATGGGCACCATGGGGTACCTGGACCCGCGATACGCCGAAACAGGTGGGCTTTTCTTGATGGGTTGAAACAAGTGTGATGCTGAGGCAGGTGGTATGGCGAGACAGGTCACATCATATGGTCACATGGTCATGGCAGATGGACGCAGATCATGGGCACCATGGGGTACCTGGACCCGCGATATGCCGAGACTGGTGGGTTGCTTGTGGTGGTGTGAAACAGGTACACTGCTGCTTGCGTGCCCTTCATGGTTGGTGGTTATTTCCTTGCGTTGCAACACACTGCCATTCTCCGGCACCAATGTATCAATCTTTGTTTCTGACCCACCCTTACCTCCGGCAGGCCAGCTGACAGTGAAGAGTGACGTGTATGCCTATGGCGTGGTCCTCCTAGAGCTCCTCACAGGCAAGAAGGCCATGGGAATCAGCCCTGGCGGCAAGCCCAAGACCCTCACCTCCTGGGCTCGCCCGTACCTCAACAAGGCTCGGCCGGACCTGGAGTCCCTGGTGGACCCGAACCTGATTGACCCGTTCCCTGAGAAGGTGGCTCGGACGCTGGCTATTTCGGCGAAGCACTGCATCCAGGATGACACCAACATGCGGCCCATGATGAGCGACATTGTCGACACGCTCAGGCCTCTCAACACGGCTATTAATGGCCGCCGCTAAGTGTTCTTCTGGCTCTTAGCCAAGGGTGGTGGCGAGAAGGTGGAGGGAAAGGTGGAGAGGAGGTGGAGGGGAAGGTGGAGAGGAGGTGGAGGGAAGGTGGAGAGGAGGTGGAGGGGAGGGTGGAGAGAAGGCGGAGGGCAGGGGGGTGTGGGACGACGGCAGATAGCAAGAGCAGTGCGGGGAGGGGAGCGAGTGTGTGCAGCGGAGTTAGATTGACAGACCAGGGCAGTGCCCCCGGGGAGTCAATCTAGCACAGGGCGTGGCGTTTTGAACGAATGACCGTTATCAGTGACTGGCTGAGTGGCCATCAGTCGACATCTGTCGGCTGAGGGGAGATGGGGGGTCTGGCAAGGCAGCTGTAGTGACAAGCAAGGCAGCTGTGGGTATGCTTGATGGATGCGCACCTGAGTCGGGGGAGGTTGAGCAGAAGCGGCTGGAGAGTCTTTTGCACTGGCCTAGGGTGGGGTGTTCAGCCGTGGTCTTTGCTTGGGTGGTGAGGTGAACTAGGGGCTGTCAGATGTGTGTTTGAGCCTCCAGTTTTGTTATTTGGTGAATATAACATATCAGTGGGTTGTTATGGTATGCGGGTGAGGGGGAGAGGGGGGGGAGGGGGAGGTGGGAAGGGGGGGGGGAAATGGGGGGGTGGGGGGATGTGACTTGTGAGGGTGTAGTTGACATGTTTCATCTAGCATGGAGCTCAGGTAGTGGGCATGGGATGGAGAGGCACAATGCAGCTGCTTAGGCAACTGGGTCCATGTGGGCCTGGTGGTTGGATAGGACGAAGGGCCCTTTTACAGTGGTGGTCTTAGGAAAGTCTTTGATTAGTTATTTAGGGAGACGGTGGCTGCTCTTTTGTGTCGGCCTTATGTGGCGTAGGAGTGCAGTTTGTCAGCTTCCTCCTGACCTGATGCGCACTTATGATAGGTGAGGCGTTTTGCTCTATTTATTAGAAGGGTGATGGGAGCGCTCACATTTGAATGCAAGTGGGTACGCCATGAATAAGACATTTGTAGGATTAGCTACTATCCGGTATTGTTTTAAAAATTGTACCGTACATCCCTTTAACTTGGCATCTGATCTTACAGCGAGACGTTGCCCACCTCCCTCCAAGCTCAAACCTCGAATCTGCCGAGCCCTTACAGCTGCCAAGAGCCTTTCTTTGCTCACGAGTCACAAGTCACGAGTCACCTCACCACCAGGGGCGATCAGTGAGTCGCTCACTTTCCCTCGCGTCTCGTGCTTCACTTCCCCGCATCTCCTCGTCGCCCTGGTCGCTACTACCGCCGCACTTGCAGGATCCGTCAGTGCTCGCACCCGATCATGCCGGTACGGATCCCCCCCGTTTTTATGCTATTTCGTGCGTGGGGATTGAACTCTCAATGGTGCTTAGATCTCGAATCCAGAGGCGGAGCGCTTCGTACGAGTATAATATTGTTGCACGGATCGCAGCTAGTTCACATCGCCTTTGAGCTAGTTTCCGAAGTTTCCAAAATACCAACTCAACTCGCAGCCAATTCACATCTCCCTTCTTCACGGTCGTGTTTCTCGCAGCCTTGATAGTCACTGATGCTATCTTCAGGCAGCTTGCTAGCCTCGTGCCTCTACCCTTCCATTGATTCAGTTTCCCCGTTGCAATCTGACCCGTTATTCGCTTTCAGGCGCGCCGGTTGTTGGAAATAGAGCCCCCAGGCCCTTTTCGTTATATTCTGGGCGCGGCGCTGATGCTGGTGGGGGTCGTGCTGCCGCTCACGTATTTCATGTTCCGATCCAAGCGAACTCCGCCTCCTTCGTTCAAGCAGACGTAGGTGTGGTAACCCTATATATTCGCTAGAAGCATGCTGGTGGGGTCGTGCTGCCGCTCACCTACTCTATGTTCCGATCTAAGCGAACACCGCCTCCTTCGTTCAAGCAGACGTAGGTGTGGTAACCCTATATACTCGTTATAAGCATTTACGCGTGCTGCTTGCTTACGTACGCGATGCAATGTCCCGACCCTATCGTACGCTATTCATCCAGTTTATCAAGCGAGCAGCGGAAGTTTTAGGTCTGGGCAGACCAGTAGGAAATCTGGGCTGCGTGTGGTGGGATACGCCTCTGCACCTTCATCTCTTCACTCCCAGTCTCCTCATCTCTTCCCGCCCAGTCTCCCAGTCTCTTCCGTTCCACCCAGCCAAGCCCTCCTCACCTTCATATTTTTCATTCCAGCGAGATTCTCTTCTCCAATCAAATCAAATCTCATCTTCACTGCGATCTCTCCCCCCTCCAGGTTTTAGCCCGTCAACCATTCCGACACCAGACCAGATCTGCCCATCCGTTCACTCTCGAGCTCTCCTTAAAACCAGCTGTCAGATCAGGCTGTCGTTCCGGTTAGGTTTGGGAATCGCAGCCGCCGTTTGTTGCTGACCTCAGCAACCGATCATGGCTCGTCTGCTGGGTGCTAGACCCCTGCCGCCGCTGCTGCGGGTGCTGGTGGCGGTGATGGTGGTGGGGGCGGGGGTGGCGGGGGTGAGGGGCCTGTATGAGGACCAGGTGGGGACGTACGACTGGTACCAGCAGCGCATTGGCCGGGCTCGCTTCGCGTCCTTCCTCACCTCCTCGCAGCGCAAGCGCGTGCTCGTTGGCACGGATAGGAACGTCGTTGCTGCGCTAAACCTCCGGACAGGGGATATCGGTGAGTGAGCGGGTGTGAGCTGTGCTGTGCTGGTGTGAGGTTTCTTGTGAGTGCGAGTTTTGGTGCTCTCCTCGCCTCCTCGCAGTGCAAGCGCGTGCTCGTGGGCACAGATAGGAGCGTCGTTGCTGCTCTGAACTTGCGGGCAGGGGATATTGGTGAGTGAGTGAGCCAAGGGGTGCGTTGATGCATTGCACAGCCCACGATAGGCAAGCGAGCAAGCGCGAGCTCGTGGGCACAGATAAGAACGTGATTGCTGCGCTGAACCTGCGGGCAGGGGATATCATCAGTGAGTAGACGCGGTGACTTTTCACGTTTTCCTGCACCTGATTTTATCGGTGAGTTGATGCTTGTACTGCCGCTGTTCTCTTTCTTCAATGTGTCTCCCCCTCTCCCTCTCCCCCTCCGCCTCCCTCCCGCTCCCCCGCGCCCCCGCTCCCCCCCCTTCCACCCCCATCCGTCCTCCTTTTTCCCCCCCGTCTCCTCTCTCTGCCAATATGCCCCCCGTCCCCACGTTTTCGCTCTGGTGCAGCGTGGCGTCGTGTGCTGGGGGATGCTGACACCCTCCACGCCCTGGATATGGGCGGCCGATGTGAGTGGCTGGAGGGATATGGGCGGCAGATGTGAGTGGATGGAGGGATATGGGCGGCAGATGTGAGTGTTAGGAGGGATGTAGTGGGGAGGGATGGAAGCAGGTATGAGTCGAGAGGGGGGAGAGGGAGGAGATGTCCCGACATCCCCCACACCCTACCCCGCCCCCCCCCCCTCCCTCTCCTGTTCAATATTTGTATCCAGGCCTTGTCACAGCAGTGAGGGCACTGAGGAAGCAGCGGTGAGGGCACCGAGGTAGCAGCAGTGAGGGCGTGGGCTGTGCCCGACAGTGCTACTAGGCACCTCAACTGTTCACTTCTTCACGTCCATTTTACTCTGCCCCTCTTTTGAGCCGGCTCAAAAGTCACTAGGCGCCTCGAATGTTCGCTTCTTCATGTTCCTTTTACTCGGCCCCTCTTCCAGGCCTTGGCACAGTGTCAGGCACCGAGACGGCAGCAGTGAGGGCGTGGGCTGCGCCCAATAGTGCCCTTGCATGGGAGATCTCGTCACTGTGTCAGGCACTCAAACAGTCTATTTTTGAGGCGCCTAAAAAATTGTTTCCGTTGCAGATCTCGTCACTGTGTCAGGCACTCAAAAAGCAGCAGTGAGGGCGTGGGCTGTACCCGATGGTGTTGCTGGGCCCCCAGCTCTTTTCGTCACCCCTGCTAAATCTATCCCCCCCCCCCCCCCTTCCAGATCTCATCACTGTATCCGGCACCAAGATGGCAGCAGTGAGGGCGTGGGCGGTACCCGATGGCGCCCTTGCATGGGAGACCGCCCTACTGCTGCCTTCGGCTGCTGCTTCGACAGGAGGGGCTGTGACTGCTAGTTTCATCACCATTTCGGTGAGTTGGCCTTATGCTCGGGTTTCGTTAAGAATTGACTAGTTTTGAGACGCCTCAAAACTAACCTACTTAACTTGGGCTGCTGCTGCAGCAGGAGGGGGTGTTACTGCTAGTTTCATCATCATTTCTGTGAGTTGGACTTGTGCTCAGTCTCTTTCACAGTTGACTCATAAGCTACCAGGAGTGAATCTCCTGGTAACCTGCCATGCAGTTCTTGCCCACCAGTCTTGGATTGCCCACCAGTCTTGGATTGCCCACCAGTCTTGGATTGCCCACCAGTCTTGGATTGCCCACCCAGTCTTGGATTGCCCACCAGTCTTGGATTGCCCACCAGTCTTGGATTGCCCACCAGTCTTGGATTGCCCACCAGTCTCGGATTGCCCACCAGTCTTGGATTGCCCACCAGTCCGTTCTCACTTCTAGTCACCTCGTATTGTAGCCCTCTCCTCTTGCATGCGCTGTCCGAGTCCGTCCTTCACCTTTGCATGTGCGAACCGCCCCTCTCACGAGAACCGCCGCTCTCTCCTGGGGTCTTGAGAAGTCTCACGCCTTTGCATGTGATGTTCCTACCTCACATCTGACCTGATGCCCCCTCTGCATGTGTGCTCCACTCCTCTCTCCTCAGGCCCCTGATGCGCCTTCCACAGACCGAGTGGTTGTCTTACTTGGGGCAGCATCAGCAGCAGCAGCAGCAGCAGGGTCCAACCCAGCAGCAGCAGCATCTGCCGTGCATTGCTTGTCAGCTGCTACTGGTGAAGTGCTCTGGTCAGCCGCCCTGCCCACACCAGCGCACAGCATCTCCCTCCTCCCCCACGGTTCTATCCTCCTCACTGCCCTCTCCCCTGACCTCTCCTTCTCCCTCACCACCCTCGATGCCGCCTCGGGAAAGGTCACTGCCTCTGCTTCCTCTCCTCCTTCCTCCTCCTCCTCCGTTTCCTCCTCTTCCTCTTCCTCTTCCTCTGCTCCGATTCCTGGTCCTGCTGCTGCCTATGTCACTGCTACAGGCACTGCTGTTGCTGTGGATTCTGTGTCTGGTAACGTCCTCACTGCTGTGCTGGTTACATCTGCTACAGCAGATGCCACAGTGGGCGCTACAGTGGGTGCTACAACTGATGCTACAGTGCACGTGCGCAGTACGCCCCTCGCCTCTCTCCTACCCAAGGAGCACTACCAGTCGGGATCTTCAGCTACAGTGGTGCCAGAGAAGGCTCCAGGAAGCTTCGTCTGGCTGTCAGTGCCTGGAGCTGTGTTCCTCCTGTCAGCAGGGGGAGCAGGACAGGCTGAGTCAGCGGGACAGATGTCACTCGTTGATTCGTTCCCTGGAGTGAGCGCTGTTAGTGCGAGTGTTGTGGGAGGAGCAGCAGGGGCAGGAGGAGGAGGAGAGGGAAGGGAAGGGGGGGAGTATCACTCTGGTCTCGTGGGATCGCAAGGTGGTGGCGATTCCCTGAAGTTTAACATCAAGGTGAGTTGTGATTTTTGAGTCGACTCAAAAGGTGATTTTTGAGTTGACTCAAGTATCACTCTGGTCTCGTGGGATCGCAAGATGGTGGCGATTCCCTGAAGTTTAACATCAAGGTGAGTTGTGAGGAGAGGTGTTGCGAGAGGGGTGTTTGCGTGTGTGAGTAGTAAGGAAAAAGGGGGGAGGGGGGAGAAGGGGAGTTCACGTACGTGGATGTGTGTGTGTGCTCACTTTTGAGTCAACTCCAAAACGTACGTGGATGTGTGTGTGTGCTCACTTTTGAGTCGACTCAAAAGCGTACGTGGATGTGTGTGTGTGCTCGCTTTTGAGTTGACTCAAAAGCGTACGTGGATGTGTGTGTGTGCTCGCTTTTGAGTCGACTCAAAAGCGTACGTGGATGTGTGTGTGTGCTCGCTTTTTAGTCGACTCAAAAGCGTACGTGGATGTGTGTGTGTGCTCACTTTGCCTTGTCGCTCTTCCCTCTCACCAACCCCATCTCTTACCTCCGAATCCCCCCCACCCATCCCCATCCCTCCCTTCTCCTCCTCCTCCCCCCCTGTCCTCCCCCTCTTCCTCCGCCTCTCTCCTGTCTGACTCTGTCTGTCTCACCACACCAGGGCCCTCCTGCTCGTGTACTTTCCACCTTGTCGCATCTTCTCTTGCCGCTGTCCTTCCCCTCTTCCCTCCCTCTCTCCTGCAGGTGCACGAGCTGCCTCCAGCCACCACCTCCCCCTCCTTCCCACCTCTCCTCCTCTCTGACACTGTCTGTGTGTCTCCTCATTGCGGCTTTCCTGCCCGCGTCTCTTTCAGCTTTGTATTCCCCCCTCTCTTGCCCTCTCGCCCTCTCTTTCCCTCTCCCCCTCTCTTGTCCTCTCCCCCTCTCTTGTCCTCTCCCCCTCTCTTGTCCTCTCCCCCTCTCTTGTCCTCTCCCCCTCTCTTGCCCTCTCCCCCTCTCTTGCCCTCTCGCCCTCTCTTTCCCTCTCGCCCTCTCTTTCCCTCTCCCCCTCTCTTGTCCTCTCCCCCTCTCTTGTCCTCTCCCCCCTCTCTTGTCCTCTCCCCCTCTCTTTTCCTCTCCCCCTCTCTTGCCCTCTCCCCCTCTCTTTTCCTCTCCCCCTCTCTTGCCCTCTCCCCCTCTCTTGCCTCTCGCCCTCTCTTTCCCTCTCGCCCTCTATTTCCCTCTCCCCCTCTCTTGTCCTCTCCCCCTCTCTTGCGCTCTCCCCCTCTCTTGCCCTGTCCCCCTGCCCTGTGTCCCTCCCTTGTCCTGTCCTTCCCCTCGTCCCTGCAGGTTCACCAGCTGCTTCCTTCCTCCTCCTCCTCCTCCGCCTCTCTCCTCTCTGACTCTGTCACTGTTCCTTCTCCACCGGGGACCACCGGCTCAAGTCTTCCTCAACGCCTATGCTAGGGCAGCAGGGCAGGGGGGCGGGACGGGGCAAGAGTGAGAGGGCAGGAGGGCGGGTGAGGGGAAGGCGAGTGCGTTTGGGTTCAGGCTGCTGGTGGTCGGGGAGGATGACTCACTGTCTCTGCTGCAGCAGGTGGGTCGTTGTAGCGGGTCACAAGTCAGTAGTTGCCCTTTTAAAGCGACTCAGAAGTCAGCCGAGTGCGTTTGGGTTCCGGCTGCTGGTGGTGGGGGAGGATGCCTCGCTCTCACTGCTGCAGCAGGTGGGTTGGTTCACAGGTGGGTTGGTTCACACTACAATCTTAGTTTACGGCCCCATATCTGGGGCAGCTTTAGTTTGTTACGACGGGTCTTTGGACTGGTCCGTTTCTTATCAGCCTCCTTGTTTCAAATGGAACCAAGGTGAGAATCCCCCACGTCTTCCACTCCCCCTGCTCGCCCCACTTCTCCCACTTTCCCATCTCCCCCTCCTCCCCTGACCGCTGTTGCCCCATATTTCAGGGGGAGGGTGTGGGTGGGGGAGGAAGCTCTAGCTTCAATTGTGGCAGTGACAGTAGCAGAGCTGCCAGAGGAGGAGGAGGAGCTGTCAGTGGCAGCAGTGGAGCACGACTTGTACGAGTGGGCGCGCACACACACCATCTCACTCCCCTTCCCCACTCCCTTCACCATTTTCGCCCCACCTTTCAGGGTGAGGTAGTGTGGGAGAGGGAAGAAGCCTGGCGTCAGTAGTGGCAGTGTCCGTGGCAGAGCTGCCGGAGGAGGAGGAGGAGCTGTCAGTGGCAGCAGTGGAGCACGACTTGTACGAGTGGGCACATACACACCTGTTGAGGGCCAAGGCGTCCCTCCCAATCTCGCCTCAGCTGACGAGCAAGCCCTGGTGCACCGCCTGCGCACCGCCTCACCTGAAAAGGTCCGGCCTTGTCCGGGATAGGAACGGGTTCCGCCGCATTCTCCTGCTGCTGACCGCGCCAGGTGGGGGCAACAGAGCGTCAGGTGGGAAACAGCAGAGGGTCAGGTGGGAAGCTGTTTGCGCTGCATTCTGGAGATGGCCGAGTGCTGTGGGCTGCTGCACTTCCGTCAGGTGGTTCTGCAGTGGATGGGCGCGTCTGTGTTTTCACCTGAAGCTATGGTCCTGTGGAGGGACCCCCACCGCATGTCACCTGACCAAACACCTGAAGCTCTGGTGCTGCAGATTCGGCAGCAGGCACAGAAGCAGCAAGAGGGGGGAGATAAGGAGGTGCACATGCTGCGTTAGTGACTGTAGTGAACGGACACAGGGATGTGCTTGAATCGAAGGGTCTGCCTTTCGTCCCCGCCGTGGTTCCCCTGCCCCTGGTAGGGAAAGACGAGAGGCGGCTGGTGATGCTGTGGAGAAGGGTGAGAAGGAAGCGGAGGACAGGAAGGAGAGAGGATGGTATCAGCCCGTGCACGTGCATGTGTTCCCAGGGACGGAGGAGGCGAGGGGGTTTCGAGGGCACAAGAAGGAGGTGTTCTTCTATCTGGTGGATGCTGTAACGGGGGCAGTGGAGGGGTATAGCATTGGAGAGAGGGTGGAGGAGGAGGGTAGCAGTGGCAGCGGTGGAGCGGTGGTGGGAGGGACGATGGTGGGAGGTTGGGTAGGGGCGTGGTGTATGGAGCAGTGTTGGTGTGGAGGGTGGTGCTGCCTGCTGACTCGGAGGTCATTTCAGCCGTTGCTGCACCTAAGAGGGAAGAGGTGGGTGTGTGTTTAGCGTGTGTCTGTGGGTGTGTGTTTAGCGTGTGTCTGTGGGTGTGTGTTTAGCGTGTGTGTGTGGGTGTGTGTTTAGTGTGTGTGTGTGGGTGTGTGTTTAGCGTGTGTCTGTGTGCACCTGTGCATGGTGTGCGTGGGGGTATGGAGCGGTGCTGACGTGGCGGGTGGTGCTGCCTGCTGACTCGGAGCTCATATCAGCCATTGCTGCGCCAAAAAGAGACAAGGTGGGTGTTTGCGTGTGTATGCATGTGTGTGTGAGTGTGTTTGGGTGTGTGAGTCTGGGGGGGTGTGCGTGTGTGTGTGCACATCTGTGCATGGGTGTGCGTGGATGTGTCCTGGTTGATTGCAGTGTGAATTTCGAGCGCGTCTCCCCTTCCTCCCTTGCTGTCTTTGCCCCAGACCCTCCTCCCTCCCCACCCTCCTCCTTACCGCACTTGCCCCCCTTCCAACGTTCCGTCCCAGCACACGAAGGTGCGTGCCTTGGCTGAGC